AGAGCAGTGTGTAGTCTCTGAAAATGTAAACTGTTGCTGAAGGCCAACCCAGCTGAGCGAGCTAAGGAACATTGCTTTGCCAATATCAACAGCAACAAATAAACTCACAGATCATCCACGCTGAAAACTGAGCAAAGCACACAGCATCGCTCCAGACTAAGTGACTTGCTTACTGGGAAGATGGCTGTGGAGCTGAGATGACATCCAGGGTTTTACCACAGCACCTCACAGCAGTGGGATCGAGCTGTCCTGCTCCTCACACACAAAACCCCCACTGTGTGCTCGTCCCCTCATCTTTGCAGTTGTCAGAGGCTGGTTGTTTGGGAGCCCTCAGGCACAAGGGGTTCTCTAACACACACATTACGTGTGCACTCAAGCTGGCAACGCTTTACCTAATGAGAGCTACCCACACAAACTAAAGGGAAAGGTATTTTGCAAATCTGATTCTCCAATACTCCTTCTTTAATAGCAGCACAGTGTCTTACGTGCCCAAATTCCTGCAGAAGTCTAATTAACTGAAACAAATTATCAACTCATTCTAGCCATCAAGAGTTATTAATTACCTACTTCTGCAACTATACAGATGAGTACATTCTGAAAAGGTATTATCAACATCAGTGTCACAAAGCCAGAGTAGCAAGAAATGGCTTCTAGTATGGCTAGGACTGAAGAACTGGTTATAACTAAGCTGTGACACATCCCTCTCTCCCCAACTCAACTTGATAAAAAACTTCCTTGCAGACCTGCTCTCACCTTTAATCACTGCTGTTACTCCTCAGCATGCAAAGTCTGATACCACTTCTGCTGTCACCCAAAAAATCCAGGCTTCTCCTTCATTCTGTTTAACTTCAGCAATTTACATCTTTCAGCTGTTCAAATCACTCAGCATCCCCTTCCATCCGTGCCCTTTCCCCCTCTCTGAGAACAACCTTCCTCTTTTCCACCTTTTCCCTTTGCAGAATTGCTGTGCTCCAGACACACCTGCAGACACAGGGGGTTTTTCAGGCTCACTCAGGGCCAGGGGAGGTCCTGCTGCTCTCCTGCCCTTCCACCTGACAGCAGCCCAGCCACCAAGCCCAGCTCTCCCCTCACAGCTGCCCTGATGCTGCTCTGCCACAGGCCTTCACATCAGAGCCATTTACATGGAACTTTGTCCCCCACACACAAAATTTCAGTACCACAGCATTCAACCAGTGTTTACCATTAATAAGTTGAATACCACAACTCTTACCACAGTTATTTCCTACTTCAAAAATTCAAGGAAGCCTGTGGTATCTTGTACACCACTGCTCAGGAACGCTTTGATTTTTCTCTAATGCCACTATACAAGTTTTGACAGAGCTTATGCTCCTGCCTTTCTAAATACACACTGAAGAAGCTATTCCAAGATACCCAATTGTATTGAACTCTCTCTCAGAGGGGGTAAAAAATTACAAGGTCTGAGAGAAAGGAGAATACAGTTCATACTAAATCTTCAGACATCATATATTAGCTGCTCTACAGTACTTAATACAGCAGGATATCTTGTATGCAAGAGATAAAAAAGAAAACACATGCGAGGTCATTATTTTCATACCACACTTAAGAGATTACAGCTGGAAGCAAGAAATCAGTAAGACATACACACTAACTGGTATGCTTGTTTCCATCAAAGATCATATTAGCTTCGAGTGCACTGCAAACAGTCAGGCTGATTGAAGATCTAAACGTTAAAAAGCCTCTCCTTACTATAATCAGTCATTTAATTTTCCAGTTGTCTTCTAGGAGGTGGTGAAAGGTCATTTTCGTTTCTCCTACAGAGTTTGCAGCTGAAGAAACACGGTGGAACGCATACTAAATCATCAACTATCCTGTCTCTCCAAAACAGAACACCACCATTCATAACTTAAAGGGAAAAAACCCAACCTAATATTCAACTTCAGCCAGGAATTCAGGGTTTATAACCTTTCAAAACTACACAAAGGCAAACAACCTGACAGTACTGAACCACAGTCCACACTGAGGTATAATTAAAACACTGCTCATTTCTGCTAGTCAGCTTCTACAAGCACTTGTGCCTACCGAGAAATTTTACCCATTCTTTTTCTTTTCTAATAATAATAATATGATTTAGAGAACTGTCTCCATCTTTACATCTTCCAGTCTCCTGGAAGGAATTAGATTTTACAAGTAAACAAACTGCTGGCAGTTAAGTCTGGCCCAGCTGTCTGTAACAAACAGACAGCGGTGGAGGCCCAGGGGCCCGATGTCACCTCGGGTGCTGCACCCGGGAGTGGCCCCAAGTGCCCCCAAGGGCTGCCCTGGCACTGCTGGACTCGGGCTGCCCTGGCACTGCTGGACTCGGGCTCCCCCTGTGCCCTCTGTTGTGCCGGGACAGCTGTTTGTGCAGCCACACTCTGAACCAGACTGGGACACGGTCCAGGTCAGCAGTAACTCAGGAAAGAATTTTTACATGGCAGCCAGGTCCTTAATCCAGTAAACTCAATTTTGGCCACCTCACATGGCACACAGCCTTTGTTGGGCTGCGAGCAACAGCAGCATTACAGAGTGCACAGGACACCACCACACTTTGTTCTTCCTAACAACTGTGATTTTCAATTCACGCTGAGGTTATCGAGTCATCAACACACAAAGCCTCCTGAACGGTTCACTTGAGGAAGCATGTTGAGTGAATTTATTCTTTCTGCAAAACTTTTAATTCTTTTCATTATCAAAGTGCACAGAGAGCTCTTTCAAGGACCACAACAGTCCCAGTTCTGAACCTACTGTATCATTAACTCACATGAGTAACCCACTGGAAATAAGCACGATCTCCTCTACACTGAAGACTCAACATAAGCCAGCCTTTCTATTTGAAGCTCCCCATTGCGACTTTCTAGGATATTTTAGAAGCACTTCATACATTGTAGAGAGGAACTGTCTGCAAAGTCCTGAAGCTTTAGTTACAGCCTTTCACACATCACACAACCAGGCTGTAATGTCAGAAAGGCCCTGCCTTCTAGATGCAAAAGACTCCTCCTACTCTTTTTTACAATATCCTTTTTCCAGTTAGTCTTGGCATAGAAGAAATTTAAATCTTCACTCTTTCAGTAATTTTTTTTGTTTAATTTTAGTTTGCTAAATAAAACAACATTAAATGTCTCAATTTCTATTGCATAAGTTATGTTTGAAAACAGTTGCATGAGTGCCTTTTTTAGATGACCAAGCATATCTAATTCTAGCCAAAACCTACATATTATCAAGACAAATCTACGTGTGCTTTTATACAGTCCTAGTATCCACATGGTGCAAAACAAAGGTCTCAACCTCACTACAGAATGTCTAGTGATTTAAAAAAAAAAAAATCAATTAAAAAGAGTCTGAGGTTGGAACTGAACACCTCATTCATTATGTGGTTACTTCTGTGTACAAATATATAATCTTGTTAAGAGGTTACCAGGCATTACTAGGAGTGAGTTTAATATTAAAATCTTATGTCTTTGAAGACCTGTGGCATGTTCTAATACACTCACTTTCTGTATATACCCAACTTGTCAAAGCTTCACAGGTAACACCTTTTCATCCATCCTGGTTTAGAAGTGAAAATAAAGTCTTCTCCCCTCAATTGCAGTAATCTGCAGACAGCAACCTTTTCAAGCCTTTCACAGCAGCTCCTAACTCTGATTTAGCAGCAGGGTATTTTTCAGGGGAAGCAGAAGATCGTTCTTCCCAGCAGAGAGGCAGGAGTTCACTGAGTCAGCCACGTCACCTGAACTGAATCACTGCTGTGTGAAGGGTATCACTGCACAGCCCAGCCCTGCATCTCTTTGGGGCAACTGCTCCCACTCACAGGTGGCACAAAATCCCTTCTACCTGCAAGTGTTACCTGAGGACACAGAATTTCAGTAGTAATTTTGTGTGTGGGGAGATATTAATATCCAGTTCCTCATCTGAAGAGATGATATAAAAAATGGGAAATGTTTTACAGTAGCCCAAACCAGTGCTTTTTGTTGCCATAATAAGGAAAAGACTTGGGTGTAGAATAATTCTAACACACCCATGGCAAAACTATGACCTAAGTCTGATAAGGTACCAAACTGAAACTAAAGACTGTATTGAAGGACACCTACCTAAAGTCATGATCAATAAACACACTCCTTTAAGTAAGGCCACAATTTTGATACTATTTCAAAAACCACACAGAACAGGACCAGGCTTATTGAACTTGATCAACTGGAATAGTCCTGTCAAATAAAAAGGAAACCTGAGAAAAACAGAAATAAAACTCCAAATGGAGACACTGCTGCTGGCATAACAAAATGGGAATGTGAAGGTACACAGCCTGAACAAGTTCAATAATTAGACAGTTCTCAGGAATAAGCAGCAATGTTTCTGACAGGGATGACTCCACCCTCAAGTGCCTCTTTTAAAATAATCTGATTAACCATGTAAGCTCCAATATGGGTCACTACCAGAAATAGTGAAGGACAGACTTGGACAAAGTTTGCCTGCCATTCCATAAAACAGAAGAGCTATCAAATAAAATGTATCCTGCTTTAATTTCAAGCAGTGTTCAGTGTCACAGGTAGGCTATCCCTAGGATGCTGCAGCTAATACTGAACCTTGACAGTTCTATAAACTCGTATTGCAGAGACAATCACCAGTGAGAAATGCCAGGGCAGACTTCTAATTAAAATGTGAATTTTAGTCTAGGAAACTTGTGGAGACCCACACAGTTCCTAAGCAGATATTCTCCCTCACCTCTCCAGGAGAATGTTCCCTCTTCCCTCTGCCTTCACTCTCTCCACTGGAAAACAGAGAGAGGTCCATTGGGAATATCAGAACAACTTAGTTATCAGATCTCTTTTCAGACTTAAATTCCTTCCCTATCAGCCATTTCTCCATCCAGTAACTTCAGCATCTCTACTCACTGCTAGACAGTTTTCATTTTCGGTGAAATATTGAGGTATCTAAACAGAACCATGAAGAAGAAAAGTGAAATTATGAAGCTTTGTGCTTACTCTTTCCCTTGACAGGATTCTTGAGAGTCGAGACACAATCCACTGTATGCTTTTGCTGAGTAAGGGAAATACCCCAGCTGGATCAGTATTGTAGGGGTTAAACTGGTTAAAAGAAGCAAACAGCTAAAGTTACATATTTGCTCTGCAAATCCAGAGCACTAAGACAGCAGTTTCTGACTCAGAGTCTCCCCAAGAAAACATACTTACAAACAACTTTACAGCCTTACCAGCTTTTCCATGCTACTAGTATTTGAAGTTCTAGTTCCCACAGCACCCACAGAACCACTGAAGCACAGTAAACAAGACTTATGCTTTTCTAGTTTACAGTGCCTACAAAAAAACCCCAAAACCTGGAGGCAATTAGGAGTCAGAGCCAAGAGACTCCATTCAGTGGGGAGGGGGAGAAAAAAAACCCAATCACCTTTGCCACATTTAGAATTCTAACATTTGTGTCAAAAAACTAGGACAGAAGCCCAGAGATGAGCTTTCTCTTCTTGGTTCTGTCACCTGCTGCCCATTTGTTTCAAGGGAGCAACTTCTGTATCTCAGATTGCCCTCTGCCAGTTATTTTTAACACCTGCCTCAAAGAGCCCCAAATTAGTCAACACTGGAAAGCACCAAGTTGCTCACAGACAACTCTGAAACAGAAGTTTCAAGAAACTCAGACATGGCCTTTCAGCAAAGCAGAAGTCTCAGCCCTAAGGTTCAAAACCAGCACTTTTCCTGTTCTTTTTGCAAGTTCATATGCCACAATTCTAATGGCACGTGAAAGACCTCCTGACCTTTGGGGCAAGTGACTGTAATAACAGATTGCAGACACTGTTCCCTCACTAATACACAAATATGACAACAGTGACCTAAGTTGTTTCTGGCTTGCTCAGACACTCCTCAGCCAAAGGCCTACAGGTAAGTGGGCATTTTCTTTTCAAGTTAAGAACTGTTACCAAAAGTAGTTACAACAGCAGCAGTCTCAGAAGTAGATAAACACCACAGCACAAATCCCAGACACAACTTCAGGTCTTACTTACTACTGGCTTCCCTGTTAGCTGTCACTTGACAAAGAAGAAATAACCCATCAAATTCATCTGGCAACTGAGGGTGCACAATGACCAAACCTTTCACTTCACCGTTTAGAGGGAGATTTATGAAACAGATAATGTTGTGAGGAAAGAAAGAGCCAGACTTCTCAGCAACGCACCACTTCCTCCTGAATAAAAAATATTCATAGGAAGTCATGCAGTCCATCATCTGATGGGTCATGTCTGAAAACAAGAACATCGAACCATCTTGTTTATTTTACCATAAAAAACATCTTACAAGTATCCAGTAAAACAAACACCTGTCCCACAACCGCAAAACTGACTTCTCATGACAGTTAACTGTGAAACCTGAAAGGTCTGCTTAACAAGTCCCCTTTAACTTCATAAAGTTACTTTAAGGTAAGTGAGAATCTGATCAGGATTATTACTTGATTTGCCTGGTTTGCATGCACATTTTCATCTTTCAGTACTGAAGTGTTCACACTTACGTGAATGTTTCTACCTCCATGCTGTTTGAAACTTTCATGCAAAGACATAAAAGCAGTATCTTCCTCAAACCCAAACACGCTGGTTTCCCCCAAGTATTTCAGCTGAATAAGGCATATAAATTCACTTATAACTGCAACCAACTCAATAAAAATGAACCTCCAGCACTTTCCTGTACATGACTCACAGACGCCAATATACTCAAGTCTTTTGGCAAGTTTAGGCCTTAAACTTCTAGAAGAAACTGAGTATTTTTACCATGTCACAACACCACCGAACGTTTTATTATTTAAGGGAAGAAAAAAAAAAAAAAAAAAAAAGACAAACACAGCAATGAGAAGAGCCAAAGCCCTCCGGAGGTATCAGTCCCTCAGGCTGGAGGCTGCTCGTGCCCCCTCACAGTTCTGAGGGCACCGTTACGGTAACGCAGCCCCTCGGCGGCAGAGCGGGGTCAGTGTCGCCCCTCACAGGGGTCAGTGTCGCCCCTCACACCCCCGCCGCCCCAGGGCCCCCCGGCTGCCCCGCCCGGCCAGGCCCGGCCGTGTGGCGCACTCGGAGCCGCGCCCGCCCCCGCCGGGGCTCGGGGGAAACGCTCCCGGCGCCCCGCGAGGGACGGGGCGGCAGCGGGACCCGGCAGCTCTGCCCGTCACCCCCCGGGGCTCGGAGCCCCTTTGTTCCAGCCCCAGGCCCCGCGTCCTGCCCCCGCACCCGGATCTCCCGGAGGATCCCCCGGAGGAGAGGCCGGGGCCGCCCGGCCGCTGTAACTTTTGTTGCGGTGGCGGCGGGGAGGGCGCTCGGAGCCCCGCGGGAGCGGCCCCGGCTCCCCCGTGCTGAGTCACCCCCGCGGGGCTGCGCCCCCTCCCCGCGCCCCGCGGACAATGGCGAGGGCGGGCCGTGCCCGGCCCTGCCCGCCCCGCGCGGCCCCCGCACCGTGATGTTGCAGTGGATGGTGAGCGGCGGCGGCGGCTGCGGGCTGGAGCCCGGCGGCGGCGGCAGCAGCACGAACTGGCAGTGGAGCTCGTCCAGCTTCCAGGAGACGATGCGGAAGCGCTCGTGGTCCTTGTCGAAGATGGACTCGAGGAACTTCAGCTCGGCCTTGAGCCCTGACACCGACATCCTGGCCTCATCTCCGGGCCCGGGCCTGCGCTGCCGCCGCCTCCCTCCGCCTGGGCCGGCCCGACCCTGGCCCCGGCCGCGCCTGCGGGGCGGAAGATGGCGGGGCCGGGGCAGCCCCAGCCGGCGGGGCACGGCGGAGCTCCCTTTGTACCGGCCTCCCGCGCCCGCTCGCTCGCTTAAAAGGGCAACAGCGCAGCGCGTTCCCCTTCCCTGCGCTCCCTCCCGGCGGGCCGGGCCAGCCGCGCCACCGCCCCGCCCTCGCCCTGCCCTCCGCCCATAGCCCGGCCCCGCGCCCGGGCCGCGCTCCGCCCCGGCCCCGCCCGCCCTGCCCCGGGCACCGCTCCGTCCTGCCCCGGCCCTGCCCGCCCTGCTCCGGGCACCGCTCCGTCCTGCCCTCCCACCGCCCGCCCTGCCCCGGGCACCGCTCCGTCCTGCCCTCCCACCGCCCGTCCTGCACCGGGCAGCGCTCTGTCCTGCCCCGGGCACCGCCCGCCCTGCCCCGGGCACCGCTCCGTCCTGCCCTCCCACCGCCCGTCCTGCCCTCCCACCGCCCGTCCTGCCCCGGGCACCGCTCTGTCCTGCCCCGGGCACCGCGCCGTCCTGCCCTCCCACCGCCCAGCCTGGCGGGGCTCGCTCTGTCCTGCTTCCTCATCGCGCTTTTATTTTGCTGAGAAAAAAACTGCAGCTTGGGTTTGCCCTTGTCATCCCGGAGCCCTGCCAGTCCTCCAGCGCTCCTCGGGGTCAGTCGACATAAGAGAGGAATTCCTGTCCTGATATTTCTGGCAGATCCATACAAGTAAAATCTGGTTTCGGTCGTTGCAGGCTGGAAATCAGCAGGACAGAGGCCAAGAAAAATTGTTACAGTTCCATTGAAGCTCCTCTATAATTGTTTGTACAATATTTTATCCCCATACATCGTAAAGCATGAAAGTAAAGTGAATACTCGCTACATTCAGAGATCAAGAGATGCTGCCTCTTCCTCACACTGGAAACATCATTTCTGCACCTTTATTTGTCCCTTCCCATCTTGGTTTTGCCAATAGATTGTTGTCAGCTCTCACATGGCATAAAGTGTGATACAAGCAATGGTGTTGCACCGTGTCCGTCTTGTTTCCTAACCAACTTTTAATTAATGCAGTACACACATAAACCTGAAATAGATAATTGCCTTTTTTTAATTGATATTTTATATAAATCTTTAACTCCAGACAAACTGGCAGCATTTCACAAACCACAAGCTGAATCTTGTCAAGCAGTGAGAACTCTAATCTTGATCCAGAGAAACAGTTATGCACATGCCCAACTCCAAGCAGATGGAAGTCTCACTGATTTGTGGGCTTGAAATCCTATCCTTCCAGCAAAGAGAGCTGCAAAAAACATCCTTTGCTACAAAAGGAGTCAGGATGGATTGACACTAGTTAGATGCTCTGAATGAAAGATACCAGAAAGTCCACAGGGTTTTTTTAGGTATCATTTTAAATTCTGATTATACAGTGTTTGCAACTCAGCTTTCCTAGATGGGCTGAACTGTGTGTAGCTTAGACTGTACAGCCTGCAAAGTGAAGACAGAATGGATATGACTGTTGTCTGTCAATACATCAACAGGCAGGGCCAAGAACTTTGAGCGGTAAGGGGAGATTTAGCATAAGGGCAAACTACCTATAAATAAACAGCAGAAGATGACTATACCTATTAGAAAAGGGAGGGCCTGGAAGAACCTCTCTATGGGAACACCAGAGACAAAACCAAACAAAGCAGACTTTGTCAGGCGTTACATGATGAGATGCATGAAACAGCAGAGGAATGACTTTGGTGACTCAGCCCTCTTTCCCTCATACGATGGGATCTTGGCCTGGAACGCCCCACTGCAGCTTCAGCTGGGAAGGCTTAGCAAGTTCAAACTGCACCTTTTGTCACACCTTACCATGCCTCCATCACTGTCTCTGGTCTTCCATCCTCTTTGGCTCCTCATCTGTCTTCCCTCTCCTCTGCCTCTCCACTGACTGTGACAGGGCATTTTTTTTGGCAGCCGTGCAGCTGAGAGGTGCTGGCTGAGGGGATGCCCCGCCTGCACTCGCTGGCAAGCTGGTGGAAGCCACGGGAACCTCTCTCAGCACCCACTGATCAAACAGTTTCCTGAGCATCTGGCAGGCCAAACAAATTGTTTGATTGGCCGAGTGTGTCCTGCAAGCCATATATTATTTACGTCTGGTCTACAACTTTCCCCAGCTCCTTCAGTCTGCCTTTTTGTTGCAGGCTTCAAGAAGCAACATGCAGCTGCACAGCCACCACTCCTCTGAATTCTGCTGCACTTCTCTGTATTTAGTAGGCATTGTGCAAGCTGCAACGTCGCCTGTGAATTAGTTTCTGTGATAAGCCCTTGAGAACACACTGGGCCTGTCTCCTCTCTGGAATTCAGAGGCACTCCAGAGGTGTAAAGAACTGTTTGTCATGTCTGACTCATTCCTGGTTCGTTCTTCAGGGACTTGCCATGGGACTTTGACATGAATCTCACCTTGGTCATAAGATGACTCAGGAAATCCTGAGTTTCTCAAAGACCAAAATGATTGCACACAGGGGAGGACCTGACAGCTCAAGGTAATAAAGGAAATGAATCTTGGTAAAGACCCTTGGGAGCACTGTATCAGATTCCAGTAGTTACAGATGCTCTTAAGTTCCCTTAATCTATATGGCCTTTTTTTTCTACCTTTCTTCCTGCATTTACATCTTCTGATGAGAAGATCTCTGAGAGTTGTAATAAAAAAACACCAGCAGATTCCTCATTGCATTCTTGGGTGGAACTGGCGAGGAACAAGGAGGCAAAGAGTCTAGACCAAAGTTGTCTTTCCTATTAGCTTTTAGTGCCAGCCCTGACTCCAACAGATCAGGTAGGCATGTCCCTGGTGAGACACAAAGCCAGCAGCAAGGGGCAAAGGGAACTGAAGGAAAGATGAGCTCAGGATGACCCACTAAGAAGGACGTGAACTGAAATGTAGGATGAATGGGCTTTGATGAATAGTTGTTAGGGGCTTAAAGAAAGGCTTCTTAAGAGCACAGATGAATATCAGTTTATATTAGTCCTTTTCTTCCTGTGAATGCCTTTTCTAGGTTCGCTGTATTTCCAGCTCTACCCCCAGTGAAGCTCCTGTACATTCCAGTTGAGTGTTTGTGCCTAGCAGTGGGTTGATTTGTCTCTCTGAGAATGGTTTATGGGTTTGGTTTTGACCTCACTTCTCTCATTTACAGCCTTGCCCTTAGAAAGGCTCTTTCTGTTTCTGATAGCACTTTCCAGGCACTGCCATTTCAGGAATAGGGAAGGCCCAGATCTTTTGTAACCCTAAAGCTCATCAGACAGAGAAAGTAAAGGGTAAAGTTAATGAGCTGGGTGGGAGGAAGTGTAAATTGATTTTAATGATAGATGATGCAGTTTGATAATAGCTGATCCCGGGGTGGAACATACACTTGAACTTTTTCACAGGTAGCAGCAGAACCTGAGAGTAGAAAAGACAAATAATACCTAACACCCATAAAGAGAAGGATAAGACAGGAACCTTACCTGAACCCTTGGGCAAAGGCAGAAAGATTTAAGAGGGTCCTGCTTTACCAAGATACAAGTCAAGCTGTCTTGCTTGCCAAAGCCAGGCTTTCACATCATCTTCTGAGCTCACAACACCGAAGTCATTGCTTCAATAACGAAGTCACCCTCAAAGCATTTGAGAAAAAACATACATCAGTGCATAAAAGCTGATGGAATGGCTGGATGATGCAGTTTCAAGAAGCATGGTATGCAGTGGGCATGGGATTGCTTAGTTCCTCAGCCACCTATACTTTTAAAGGCTTTAACATTTAAGGAATGGCATTTCAAAACCAATCTATCCTAGGGCAGCTTTGGACAGACAGGGATATCGTTGCCAAGATGTTCAGGGGTACGTGTCAAGGAGATGTCTGCAGCCACTCAAATCCTATGGCTATGGATTTAACATTAAAAAAAAAAAAAAAGAAATGTAGCATGATTTTACCCAGGATGGTCAGAGAGCAGTTTTCAGCCACAGTTCTCCCGAGTCCACCCCTGTGGCTGTCAGCAACTGAGTAAAGTAGGTCCCTTCTTTGGAGTGTTTTTTTGTAGCCACTGAGGAGTGTTTGTAATCCTATAAAGGAAACAGCAATAACCTGTTGGTGAAAATTTCATTACTGTTTGTGGATTTGTAGTTCTGGCTATATTTATATATATATGACTGAAAAGTGTGTATTTCTGAGCAGCCAAAAGGTGAATAGTGTCTGCAAAGCGAGGGCAAAGGTGTGTTTTTTTCTGTATGAAAGTTGTGAGAATTAATTTATTAGAAGAAAGGTGCCACAGGAGAGCAAAGCCATGTTAATCAGAGTCTTGCAATGCTGCAGGTGGGGATTAGAATCCACTCTACAAACACATCAGAAACCAAACTCCCTGTGCACACTTTAAAATGCACAATGAGGGAATATTCCCGGTGCTCTCCTTTATGGCTCACACAGCTTCTTTAAACCAGATGAAAAACACATCTCTGAAAGCAATAAGGAGCCATACAGCCATATCTGAGGCACTCCATTTAATAAAATAACACAGGCTAGACAAAAAAGGAAAATGTGGTATCATTTTTTCAAACCCAACTGGGTAAGGGAAGAGGTGACTTCCTGCATCTGTTCAGAGAGTAACAACATTCCTTCCCTGGACTCTTTAGGACTTGCACCTTTCCTTGGGGTCCACAGAGTATAAGCCTTATAGGGCTCAGCAAGCTTATCTCCCCTTGCCTTCACAGAAGCTTAAAAGGGATGTACAAGAGCAGAGGTCAGGTCCAGGCTCAGTCCTGCTAAACACATTTCTGTCTGGAGGGGGAGGCAGGGAAATGGGCAGATCCTCAGGTCAAGTGCTCACAGTGCTGAGATGCAATCCTAACCACAGCTGAATACACAGCCCCTTCATCTCCCTTCTGATTTCTTATTTGGATAGGCAGTGCAGTAGTTAACTTTATCTATATTTAAAATATCAGCACAAGGCATCTGAGTTGGCAGGCACTGAGATGAACTGGGCAGGTCGGAGGCATTGTTTCAGGTTCTGCAAGCACAGGCAGAAATCACCACGTCCCTTAGCATGGAAAATGCAAATCAAATGCATCTCAGCAACCATCCAGGGCTTCTCATTTAGTCTAATTTATCTCTTTTTGTAGGTAAGTTTAGATTTTGGGGAAGAAAGCGGTGCCTGTGACTGTACTGTCCCTGTTCAAAACCTCAACGCACTCTGGTCCTGCACAAACACTAACCAGGCACAGGATCACTCCAAACCAGGCACAGGATGCAGCCTCACCTCATATGTGGGGAAAGTCAGACTGGTGAGGTAGATCAGTGTTTTTCCATCATTGGCTGATTTGGAGGTCCTAAGTGTCCACAAGTCAAGATCTACCAAGCCCTGGTATGGGATTTTTTTACATACTCTGCATCTAGTAACTTTTAAATATCAAATACAGAAAATTGAGCTTGGTAGATACAAGACTGGAGAAAAAGGGTGGTGAAGTACATGTGGAAAACTAACCCATGTATCTTTATGGGTGAAAGAAGGACAGAAAATATAAGACTTTTTTTTCCCACTATAAAGATGGATGACTTGAAGTCGTCTTTTCTCAGAATGACTGAGAAGAAGTCGCGGAAAACAGCAGTCTCAGACTCAAATGCAAGACCAAACCTCAGAAAAGAATGACCCCAGAAATTACCACTCTGTAAATCTGACTCTTTTCCTGCTGGAAGCAAATTCTAAGCACAAAAATCTGCTAAAACAGATGAAGGATAACAGACTCCTTATAAACTGCAGTTTATAAGGAAGGGAACCTCCCATAGACTTACAACATCAGTGAGTAAAAGGGAAGTAACAGAACCAATATACTCGGTTTTAAACAAACGTTTGAAAGACTGCATCACAAAAGTCTGAATATAACATTAATTCACACCTCTTTTGACATAACAGCACCCACATAACTTGAGAACTGGCTGAAAAATTGTGAACAAGGAATAAAAATAGCAAATTACTGAGCAGGAAGAGGTACTTAATATGTTTAAAATGGATCATGGTAGTGCTGTTAGAGTTGAGATCAAGACTTTCACTGTGATTTAGAAGAGACTGTAATTGATGAAATTATCTGATGACAGAGAGAGACATTTTGAATAGCAGTGAGGACAAGGAAATAATCCCAAGAGGTGGAGAAAAATCAGTAAAAAAACCAACTCCTTGATCTACAAGCCACAAATCTAGTGAATCCTGATTTCCTACAAATTGCATTTTTATTTCACCATCTCACTGTATCCCACTTGGGCTCATTCTATAATCCCCCTCACCCTTTCCCAGTTCCTCCCCATGCCTCCACACTTCTTACTTTCCACAGGATTCTCCATATTTCCACCCACATTCACCACCTGTTTTGGCCAGGGGAGACAGAGCAGATGCTGTAGATTCTGATTTCAGAATCTACCCTGGTAGATTTTATTGTGTTCCTTACCTAGAACAACTGTGATCTTGGCAGAAAATTATCAAAAATCAGAGCAAAGTGTGGCACTCGGAGGACAGGTTTCTGACATGAGACTAAAACAGCAGAGCTGGATTCTCAGATGCAGCCAATGTCCATCAGGATACTCCTTTACACACCCCAGTCCCAGCCCTGGCTTGCCCTCCCTTTAGCCTCAGGCACAACTCTGAGCCACCTCAGAACACCACAGAATGTGACACCTGCAAGAATGCAGAGTGTGGCAACACACTCACCAGGGTGTTTTTTTTTTTTTCTAGACAAGAGTCTTAACTTGTCCCCTATCTGGCTGAGGAAGATTTATCTGGCTTGAAGAACCAGTCTCATAGAAACAGTTTTAACTAAGGGGTAGTCAAATAGGAATACACTATCCTCCCACAGGAGGAGAGGAACAGGGCTGGAGGGAAGGAGTTAATGGATCTTTATAATCCCCTCCCTGCATTAGCACATGGTTGTATCATACAACCAATAGTACCTGGGGTTGCACAGTCCTGCATCTGTGCTCTGCCTCCCCAGCACTAAGCACTAAGCAAGGGATCTTGCTTCAGAGGGACCTGGACAAGCTGGATCCATGGGCTGATTCCAACGGGATGAGGTTCAAGCAGGCCAAGTGCCGGGTCCTGCACCTTGGCCACAAGAAGCCCTGGCAGCCCCACAGGCTGGGGACAGAGTGGCTGGAGAGCAGCCAGGCAGGAAGGGAGCTGGGAGTGGGGATGGACAGGAAGCTGAACAGGAGCCAGAGTGTGCCCAGGTGGCCAAGAAGGCCAATGGATCCTGGCCTGGCTCAGGAACAGTGTGGGCAGCAGGAGCAGGGAAGTGATTCTGCCCCTGGACTCAGCGCTGGTGAGGCCACCCCTGGAGTGCTGTGTCCAGTTCTGGGCCCTCAGCTCAGGAAGGACATTGAGGGGCTGGAGCAGGTCCAGAGAAGAGCAACGAGGCTGGGGAAGGGACTGGAGCACAAGTGCTGTGAGGAGAGGCTGAGGGAGCTGGGGAAGCTCAGCCTGGAGAAGAGGAGGGTCAGGGGAGACCTCCTCACTCTCTACAACTCCCTGACAGGAGGGGGGAGCCAGGGGGGGCTTGGTCTCTTCTCCCAGAAACCAGCAGTAGGACAAGAGGGCACAGCCTTGAGCGGTGCCAGGAGAGGTTTAGGTTGAATACTAGGAAAAAATTTTTTACAGAGAGAGTGCTCAGCCACTGGAATGGGCTGCCCAGGGAGGGGGTGGAATCACCATTCCTGGAGGTTTTTAAGATGAGACTGGATGTGGCATCAGTGCCATGGACTGGGAACCACGGCGGGGTTGGATCAAGGGTTGGACTTGATGATCTCTGAGGTCTTTTCCAACCCAAGTGGTTCTATGATTCTATGATTATTTAGCACTGATATAGAGAAGAACCAAGAAAAATGAAATTAAGCCACGAAGAGGAAAACATAACCTGAATGTTGGCCCACTGTGGCAGAAAACCCTCTAGAAATCCCTGAGGAAGCAGTGCCATAGCCCAGAAGAGCTGCCACGAGTGGCCAACGAGCGGGGACAAGGGTGGCCCAAGGTGGGGAAGGCCAAGGGGCAAGGCTGTGGTTTCAGGGGGGCACGGCTGGATGAGGTGATCTGGAGGGTGTTGATCAGAGGCTGTTTGTGAGCCGGGCCTGTCCCAGTGTGTCCGGAGTGGTCCCGCCGCAGGTGCCCCAGGTGTGTCTGCTCCTGCCCCAGGTGTGTCTGCTCCTGCCCCAGGTGTCTCCTCACCTGCCCGGTGTCTCCTGAGCACAAAGCGCCCTCCGGCGCCGGGACCGCGCCCTGCAGGACAACAGGGATTCTCTGTCCCCATCCCTGCCTGTTCCCTGCCGGAATTAATTACAGTTATATAGGAATATTAACAGCTAATACGGGAAATATCCCTCCGGGGGCCTGCTGCCACATTTATGGCTGACCATAAATTCTTATTCATTCTTCGTGTCAATCACACTATTTAATAAAATGTTTTTAGGGATGAGATTCTGTCTTTTTGTCCAGGTGCTCTGAAATCAGCAAAATCAATGGCACACCCATCAATTTATCTTTGAAGTTGGTCAAAGGCTTATGCCTTCCTCTCCAGGTAAGGAAATTAGCCAGAAAGGTTTTAAAATCATTTTTCCCTTCACAAAATATTAACTTGTTACAGGAAGGGCTTTTAGAAATGCACAGTCATTTACCAGCTGGTGGAGCTCAGCAAACAGCAGGAAGATTTGTCCACAAGCATTCTCTGAATTGGAAGCGAATTATGACTCAGCCACCTTTATTAACCTTCTGCTTTTATTTTCACAACAGCTTATGTGTTTGGGATCTTATTTCCCGCCCCCCTGCTGGCAGAAAGCATTACAAATGCACTGAGTTCACTGTGGAGTTGCTACCCCCTCCAGCTGTTGAAGTTCTATGGAACAGGTCTCCTCAGCACAAACCCAGAGCAGATGCAAATGTCTGACCTTCTAGAACAGCTACAACAGATGTGTAGCCAGTTATCAACTGCTGAAATTAGTCAAAGCATTAACCCACATCTCTCATGACACCAAATATGAATTATAAACTGGGAATACATAGGCTAAACCACCTAATTCTGATAAACAGCCCACTGACCTCCAGTGGGAACCTGCCCACTGAGTCCAGCAAGCCTTGAATGAGGCCAACACGTAAAACATCACATTATCTTTCAAATGCATTTGCAACAGGAATTGGATATTCAACACTGACACCTGTTCAAATTTCACAAATCGTGGACTCAGCTAAAAGAAGTTTTGAAACCCCCAGATCTTCAAACTAAAACACATGTAGTGTTTCTTAATTTGTCACCTTTTTTTTTTTTTGGTTTTCTTAAGACATAAGGATATTTTCACACTTTTCTTAGCACTTTGGGTGCTAAAACATACCTTAAAATTAAATCAGAAATTCTTAAATACTTAATCCAGGAACTGAGAAAAATACAAAATGCCTTCTGAAGAGTTATATTAAGTTGGTTATTTAATTTGGGAGCATGAATATTTCTGCTAGAAATTATGATCAAACTTCTATGATTTCTAGAGTCAGAAAAAAAATATTCTTCTCATACAGTCAAGAGAATTAAGAGCTGTCCAGTGTCCTAAGTACTGGAACAAACTATGAAAAGCATTATTCTAATGCTTTTTCAGGTTGCAGAAGCAGAGAAAGTGATGGGATCTAATCAAGCATTAATTTGCCAACGTATCCTCTTAAAAACTTCTGCCTGGACTCTCTTTAGGCCGTTCCTGTGCCAGTAATTTTTATGACTGTGAAACACACACACTGGTTTGGCTTAACCAAAGCAACTAAAGGTTTTACTGGGCCACATCACTCTCACACAGGAAAAAAACTGATGCGTAAGCTTAGCTCCAGGTATACAAGCAGTGCCATAGAAAGAGTTGGAATTTAAGCACATACTTTATATTAAAAGCAAATGCTCAACTGTTTTGCTGGATCAAGAGCTGTAAGTCTTAGTGATGCCGTGGTTTCTATGACGACTAAGTATGATATTACATGAAGGATTATGACTTAAAGGAACACTATTACATCTGGCCTTTTCAACTGACGTGCTCCCAGTTTATCCTGTACATACCTTGTGTACAAATCTGCTTGTCTTTGTGGAGCCACTGAGCCCAGGACCAGGTGGAATGCAAGTGAAGAACACTGCTCCACTCTCTATTCCTGCAGATTTCAAGGAGAAAAACTAAATTCAGACTCAGGGCTGCACTATCCTTTCAGGCACAGCTGCAGTCCAGGAACCTGCTGGTAGCTGAGGGGGGCTGCAGCAGCAAGGCAAGAAAACAAATGCCAGGTAGGAAGTAAAGTAGCAGTGAACCCACACTCCCTCCCTGCAGAGCCCTCACAGCCCTGGCAGAGTTCCCTGCACCCACAGCCTGTCCTATGGGGTTGGCTCCACATCCTGCTGAAGGCTGGAGCACCTGTGGAATTCCTAATTAAACTCTGGTTCAAGTAGGTCTCACCTCCACAGGCTCCTTTCCCATCCCAGCAGTGAGCTCTGCTGGTTCCCTGCTCCTCTCAGACCTGAACACTGCAGAAACTCCATTCCACCCTTGCTTTCTGATTAGCTCATTCTCCATTTGGCTCAGCTGGGAACATGTTTGGTCTCCTGGAGATACACTCCAGCTCCATGGTCCTCAGTGATCTCTGCAAACAGGTACTTTCTTCCCTTGGGAGCAGGTGCCAAAAGCAATTCCATAAGGCTCAGTACGAAAAGCTAGCCCAGACTAGCTAGTTTGGAACAGGGTAGGAAATACCCAAGAAAAAGTAAACTCTCTCACTGTCCAGGGTGTACAAAGAGCATTCTGCTTTTTAACTGAGAAGGATTAAAAACCCACCTCTGCAGCCCTCCAGCAGCCAGAAGGCTGCAGCACATTCTCAGCTGCTCATGTGCTGTTGCCCACATTCATGTCGGCTGCTTGCAGCCATTTTGGGGAGGAATCTCTTCTTTTCTGTCTCTCTGTCTCATTTTCAGAGAGCAGCCTGGCTCTGGGCTGCTGTGCATTCAGGACACACTGATTCACCTGCTACTTTACAGGCAAACGAGAGCCAGTGTTGCAAATGTGTTCAATGGCCCTTTTAAGTACATGGCTGGCTCTGTAGCAAACAGCTCCCTTTAGATTAGGATAAATGCTTTACCAGGGAGATTAGTGCCACTGCACTTGTGAAGTCATGATATTCCCTACAAATAAAATCAGTGACTATAAATAGCCAGAACATCTTCCATTCTATGAGATTATGAGTTTCTTGCTTACAAAACAGATGAGCTCATTGAGAGATAATTTCGTGATAGCCAGATAGCTTCAACATAAGATTGAGCCCATCATCATTAGTACAATTAAAGCTCCTTTTTATACCAGTAAAATAATTGATGTGCTGATAAACTGCCTCGGTTCATTGTTACTGCAATATCCACAGCTGCTCTGAACACATCCATGTAATCAATATGGCCCACTAAAAGGTTTCTAAATGAGTTAACTCTTCCAGGAATCAGCCAGATTTCTGAGGGACTATCATGCTTTTTGTTCTGTGGTTTTTTTTTTATTTACAGAGGCATTAAGTCCAATCACGAGCTGATCACACACACTCGAGCAGAGCATAATATGAATGTCGCATGCCATTATTGTAATGGAAGTTGAGCCAGGGAACCTGGCCTGGAGGCTGCTTTTCCCATATTAAAAAAATACCTACCCAAACCTGCATCATTGTGACAGAACTGGGTTAGGGAGTGACTGTATGTGTGGTTCCACTGGCAGAGCACAGCGTGCCACGAGGGACAGGAGAATGGTAGCCAGAGACAGCGAGCTCCAACTTCAATTCAGCAGCAGCCCGAAAAGCATCTCCCAGAATAGCCCCAGAAACGTGATCAAAAGGACCTGTTTTGCCACCATGCTAAGCTGCAGGCCAGCATTTCACACAGACTGGGGCTCCAGTCTCCCTGTCCCTCTGTGGTGCCACTGTCCCCCCTGTGCTGCAGGTACAGACAGCAGCTCCCAGGGCAGCTGAGAACAGAATTCCTGTGTAAAGGGTGTGGCTGTGGGTACAGTCAACAGGTTCCTGCCCTGGCTTTCTGGGATAGGTTAGAAACATTCTCAGGAGCCACAGAAAATCTCTCTAAATGCCCAGCTTTACTGCAGAAGAAGAAACAAATCTCTCAGGTCAGCCTCTCCCTGCCCTGCATCAAGGGAAGACAAGCCTGCACACATTTGTCAGGGGGTTTGGAGCTTTTGTTGTTGGTTGCAATTAAAAACCCCGACTGAAACTGCAGAGCTTTGTTAACCTCCTATGAAGCGAATGTTTGAACTTCAGACTTACTCATCCACAGATCTCCTTTCTGAATCAAATACTTCCATTTCATGTACTTGCCACATTCTGGAGGTAAAGGTTTTTAGCAGCTGCAGATACCCATGCAGAAGCACTCACTCCTTCCTGATGCCTGCAGCATGCCATGAGAACTCCACAGTGTGAAATACAACTGCCCAGTCTCCTCTCAAAGTTCCCAGCAGGCAGCCACATACCCAGCAATAATGCTGGGTGCTGCACATGCATTAGAGGAGCTACAAATAGTTATCTTTTCCCACTTAAAAGTAGCCATCACGTCCATATAGACCATCGTGGAGCTCAGGCACTGATTTCTTTTTGACCTAAACACAGCTTTACACTTGTTTGTTGCTGTCTGCTGCTGATAGAAATGCAAAATGGCCACTCTGCATTTCCCATGCTGAAACACAAACCTTTAATGAGTTCATTTTGAATTGCTCCTCAAAGACCAGGCAGAGATGGTAGTAGGATGTATAGCTTTAAATAACCTGTCAAAATCCTTTTAGGAAACAAAATAGCACACATTTTTGAGAGGTTTCCATCTGTCTGAATTTCTAATTTGTTTTTTTGCAGCTCACACAGCTCAGATGGGATTTAGCCGAGAATCCATATCCTGAAGCTGGGTTTCTGAAGTTTTCTTCACACCAGGATACCAGGATGGTACCTGCATAACCTAATTCTTAAGCTGCTGAGCTGCAGCTCAGGCCTTCTGTCTCCTCTCTGCCTTCTTCAGATAAGGAGGGTCACCCAGCCCCAGATCCCAGTGCTCCCAGACAGGCTGTTCCTGAACAGGCCCCGCAGCAGTTCCTCAGTGCCAGGTACAGCAGCAGGGGAGCAGCTGGTGACAGGGACACAGCACAGGCTGTCTCTGGCTGACTGATGCCTCTGGCCACCTCAGCCCTCCACCATTCCTGTAGGTCCTGGTAAAGCTCAAAGAGGCCCTGCAGCTACGAGAGGCCCAGCTCTCAGCTGGCCCAGGTGGTCAGCACCAGGTGGTGTTAGTTGGTTTGATTTTAAATCCCTTTGGAGATTGTTTACAAAGGCTTTGTGGTCCAAGAGAAGGCCCACACCACTTTTATGGGTGGTGTGGCCAGAGGCAGTGAATTCCTCCTTGCTTCGGTTGTAGAACTCTGCCTTACGGTTCCCATCCAGGGAAGTGAGCCAAAGACAGCTGCCTCTTCCAAATTAAGGCTTTGTGGAGGCTGCATCACCCTCTGATGTTTTTGAAATTTCCAGTGGACCACATCAGTCACTGAGAAGTAAGAAGTGGCATCTAAACTCAACCTTTCACCAAGAAGTAGAACATCATCTGTGGCTGGGATACCATCTTGTTTCAAAAATCCCACATCTGTCAGAATCCTTTTGGCTCCTATTAAAACATATATTGACTAAAAATAATTGCTTACTTCCTGTTGTTTCAGTTAGTTTGCTCTGGGTACCTGGCAGCATTTTGCAGAGTTCCACTGTTTCCCCAAGGCTGTCAGTCAGTTTTCCCTGTTGTTTGTGTGGGCTTTTCACACACAACACAGAAGAGGAAAACATTAAAAAAAAAAAAGGGGGGGGGGGGAAATGTGATTATAATCCACTTAAAGCAGCCAGCAGGGGGTTGTGCTGTACCAAGAACTTTTTTAAACAGTGAATACAGTTCAAATTTACTATCCCTATTTAGCTGCAGAAGGCAGTCTCTTTCTGTAACAAAAGTTAAGAGCACAAGTTGTCAGCCCATCACCATCTCTGGCAATTTCAAAATCAGCTGAAGAAACACAGTTTCATCTCTATGGATTAAATGATGTATGGGCTACATTGGTTAAATGAGCCCAAGAAGTCAGTGATCAACATAACTTCTGCCTAGTACTTACAATTTTAGAAACAGAAAAGTGTTAGTCTTTTTAGGATGGAAAAAAAAAAGTATGTAGTTATCAAGACAAGAAAGCCAGAACTTCTGGATTTTTTTTCCCCCAGTAGTTGATAACTAGTTCTATTATTTACAGATATTTAGTTTTATTTCTGTTGCTTTAATCAGTTGTGAGCTTCAGCCCCCAAAGGTAAGATCTGCACCCATCCAAAGAGGGGCATTTCTTTCAGCTTCTGTCTCCCAGCAGCTCCAGATGCTCCTCTGGACACCAGTCTGAGCCAAGGGGCTGCACCCCAGAGCTGAGGCACAGGAAGCTCCACAGCACCTCCTGTGAGCAGTGGCAGAGAAGTTACCACTTTAAACTCCTTAGTGCTGATATTTGCCACCACTTACAGAAGAGCTGCTTCAGGAAAGACCACCCAGCACAGGCAGAGCTTCTGTCTAGATGGGGATGGAGCTGGTTGTGTTCCCTGTGACTTTTATATCTGAGAGCAGACTTGATGTTTGATACACACGGCTTTATTCACACACTCATAGGCAACTGCCATCCACATCACGTGTCTGCTGTTCTTCATAAGCCAGGGGAAAGCAACAGGAACAAGAGGGAAAGAGGATGGTAATACCTTCACCAAAGAGGGACACTTCATCACCTGGATTCACCTTCTGTGGGCAGCAGCCCAGGGAAGGGTTAGGAGGAGGATCTCGAAGCCAGGCCTAGTTAATCCCAGACCAGAAGATGGCGAGAGAGGAACAGTTTTCGAAGCACACGAGGCGCTGTGACCCGCTGGCTGCAGCCATCGGCCGCCGGCAGAGTGTCCCAGCCCCTCGGCAGCTCCCTGGGAGAGGGGACGTGTCTGTCCCGTTCAACGGGACACATGGCTGGATAACCATTTAGCTGGTTATCAAAGGGATATTTTTGTTCTCCAAATCCAGCTTGCTCTGGAAATCTGACGTGTTCCAAAAACCTGTAAAACTTGAGAACAAAAAGGAAATAGCATCT